AACAAACGTAATGCAAGGGAATTAATTCAGTTTGGGGGAAATGAGGGGACGGGAGGCAGGCGTCTGGCTGACACCAGAGAGTCTGCACAGCAGACCCTGCTCCCAAGAGGGTGCAGTGGGAGGGGTCCCGAGAAGGGGAGCACAGCAGAGGCACTGAAGGCGTCCGTGCTGGAGAGGGAGAGGGCCTGGCGGCATCATCAGGGTGCAGCAGATCAGCCAGCCCGGGGCTTGCAGGAATTGCTGGGCCACAAAGCCAGGTGCCTCCTGCTCCTGCCGAGTTCAGAAGGTCACCCCTCAGAGGCGCCTCCACGGCGCAGGACTAAGCCGGGTCTTGGCCACTGCCAGGGCACACCCCCATCCCAGGCCCAGGCCGACGGCCAGCATGCAGGGGTCGCAGAAAGACGACAGCTGCCCTGCTACCGAGGGGCCAGCGTGCCTGTTACATGAGCAAGCAGCTGCTCTTCGGACCGTTGCTCATTCCAGGCCCTTGGCCGAGGCAGCGCTACAGAACCCCAGCCGTGTTCAAACCCCTCTCCTGCTTGGCCCCAGGTTTTCGCCCGTCTCCTGCCCCACCAGGGGACCACGGGATAGCACCCGAGCTACAGCCCTCGCTTTTCCATAGGAAAGACCAAGGCCCTGGGTGGTTCGGGCTGCAGCCGGAGCAGAGCAGGCCGAGCGCCGTGCAGGATGGGATCCTGGTGCTGACGTGGTTCCCAAAAGCGCTGAGGCAAGTCACCAGCAGGGGTCCTGCCCAGCGGCTGCGTTCCAGCGGGCAGCAAAGGCCCCCCAGCTTGTCTCTGCTCCGAGCAGGAAGAGCTTCTAGCGCTTTCGGTTTGTACTTCTACCCGCCCAGGGCAGCTCTGCGCCGAGGCAGCCTGGTCACACTGCCCCGTACGCTCAGGGACGCCGGGATTTTCCTTCTCTACAGCAAGGGCAGGGATGCGGGGTGGGGTAAAGAACAATGTTAGAAAGGAAACCTTCCTCGGCCGCTGGATTCCATACGGCGCAGCCACCGGCCGGGGCACCTCTGCCCCTAGACCAAAGATCCAGGGGACTGAACCACTGGATTTAAAGAGGCAGAAGACATTAATCCAAATCCCTACTTCCAGTCTCCCCCACCCCCCGCAACCTCCCCCTGCCTGCACTACTGCTACCTGGCTTGGGAGTGTCAGTATCGGTGCTAGAAACACATTTAAACATGTTCATTATTTACCGGTGAGCAATTCAAATGCTCCAGCTCCACGCTTAAACCAAGCAAGCCAACTAGATTTGCATGGAAGCTGCCAGAGCTCCAGCAGAGCTGGGGGGAAGGATATCTACTGACTGCCACGTGTCTGCTGTCAAAAGAAAAAACAAGTTCACAGCGAGCACAGGCCCATTAGCATAAGCAGCAGAAAGAGAATGACTAAGAGGAGGAAGCAGAACACTCACTTGTGCTGCCTTATCTGTTGTATTGAAAATCTCTTGGCTGGGTCATATTCAAGCATCCCTGAAAAGGAGGAAAAAAAATCCAGGTGTGATTCTCAGCCACTTTAGAGAAAGGCAGCCCAAAGCCCCACTCCCACCCTGCTGCCCCATGACACCATCCACAGCTCCAAGAGCTCCAGGCCGGGTCAGCACCCCAACTGACTAGCTGTGCCCCACCTGCCGAGTGGGGATACGCCTCCCTCCCTCACACGGAGGTCAAGTGCTCTCCCTCCAGTCAGGGCTTCTCTCTGCACAGACCATCAGCCTAGCTCCAGCCTTGCCACTGCGGAGCGGTGTTTAACCACGGAGGCCCCGGGCCAGAAGCGGCATTCGAGTGAGGCAGAGCTAGAAATAACGAGCCACTCTCCAGCCAAACTCTTCCCTGCTTGCCAGCCGTCCACTGACTAGCTGTGCCCCACCTGCCGAGTGGGGATACGCCTCCCTCCCTCACACGGAGGTCAAGTGCTCTCCCTCCAGTCAGGGCTTCTCTCTGCACAGACCATCAGCCTAGCTCCAGCCTTGCCACTGCGGAGCGGTGTTTAACCACGGAGGCCCCGGGCCAGAAGCGGCGCCCGGGGGGGACAGAGAAAGAAGGGGGGAGCCACTCTCCAGCCAAACTCTTCCCTGCTTGCCAGTCCTCCTGGCGCTCGCTCTCAGTTACGCAGCTCGGGGCATGGGGAAAGGAGCTTGCCAACAGAATTCTTCTCCCTCAGCCCACCCAGCAGATTGCCCCACATCCCCAGAGACACACTGACTGCGACCCCTGCCCTTCAAACGTTGAGACTCGCATGCCAAGAGAAAGAGGAAAAAAGTTCCCACACCGCCCCCCGGAAACCGGCCAACAATGCATTAACCGGTCCAGTGCCCTGCTGCATGCAGGATGCAGGCATTCTCCATGGAAACCATCGCTAAGCGGCTAGCCTGCTGTACCAATAACATGCCTGGTGCTTTCCAGAGAAATGACAGACCCGATAGCCTAGGGACAGAAGCCCAGGGATTTAGAACCAGGGTTCCAGGCACCATTGGAAGGCGATGCAGCTGCTGCACTGGGCTTTTGGGGAGTGAGGCGCTCTGAGCAGGTTCGCTTTCAAACCAAGTGCAGCAGCAGAGAGTTAGCGTGGAGGAACCGTACAGCAGTAGCACAGGGAGGAGGGATTTCGAAAGGAGGGAAGCACTGGACAGGCACTGACCTCAAGCAGCCAGGGTGGGAAAGCTTTGAAGGAGAGTGGAAGTAGCGAGGGAATTAGACAAACAGTGTGAGGAGTAAGAGCAGACAAAGTTCTCTGGCCTGGTCTCCAAGGTCAGGCTGAGGGGTATAAACTTGCTGTGGAAGGCAAGGGAGAGCCAATGGAGGGACAGTGGCGAAGAATAGAAAGAGCCCTTTTGGCAGGAGACGGTGGAGTTGCCTGCAGGGAAGCTAGGCAGGCCAGAGAAGAGACTGCAGTAATCCAGATAAGAGCTTGCCAGGCCCCACATTAGCAAATGGCTTCGGCAGTCCTGTGGGCAAAGGGATGGATTTCTGTGACGAGAGAGAGGAAGAGAGGCCGGATCCACCCACAAAATGTACCTGTGGGAAGGTCCCTAGTGACAGATTGTACTGCCAAGTTGGAGAGCAAGCAGAACGGGGCAGTGGCTGGGAAGAGACGAGGGATGTGGTGTTGTCGAATGAGGGACAACTACCGACAGTTGTCACTTGCTTGTGAGAGCCAACCCTCCCTTCGCGCACCAAGTCCCCGTGGAGTTCACATGGGCAAGGAGCTGACCGCTGCGCCCTTGCGTTATGGAACAGATGATGCCGACAACGAGCGGGTATTTTCCACTCCCACCGCCAGGCCAAAGCCACTCCCATTCGAGCTGAACACCATCACCCCAGTGCCAAACGCACCGAGGAAAAGGGCTCACTCAGTTCAGGCTTGCGTTACCTTCCCGAGTGCTACTTTTGGCCCATCAGGAAGGGCTCCTGGAAATTTAACCAATTCCTTCTTTCCGTGGTACGTGCAAAGAACAACCAACCTTTTACTGGGAAAGAAGCAGCATCCACTCACATAGCACCAGCGAAGTGGGCTTTTAGCCTCGTTCCAGCACCTGGGACGCTAGGGTAGCAACCATCACCCAATTTCTCACCTCACCCCCCAGGCCTACAGAGGGGCTAGGATCAGACCCAATTAACATGGTTGTTAATGATGCCCACCCCACCTTCCACCAGAGGCACCAGCCATGTGTGGAGAGGCAATAGCTACTCGTGGACCCATTGCCGTTGGAAGACAAGCTTTTGAGCGCCAGAGGTGCTCTTCAAATCAGACTGAGGGCGTGTACACACTGGCAGTCACTTCAGCATCATTTAAGCGGCTCAGGGGTGTGAAAAAACCGCCCCCAAGAAATAGAAGTTACACTGGCCTAAGCGCTGGTGTGGACAGCGCTGTGTTGGCGGGAGAAGCCCTCCCTCCGACAGACGCCCCCTCCACAAGCAGCGGTATCTAGCTACACGGTGGGAAGAGCCAGGCAAATCCGCGCTAGCAGTAGTACAAGGGCACAGCTGAGCTGCCATCGCGATTCTAGTGCGGACGCGCTCGCGGTGCCTCCCAGCTCAGACCAGGGTGGAACAGACCTTTCGAGGTGAACTGGCCCATCAACCCCCTGCAGGCATCAGGGAGGGAGAAGAGGGGAAGCAGCCGGAGTGGGGTTGGTGGTTTGCAGACAGTTGCAATAAGCCACCAATCCATAAAGGAATGTCCCGGGACCGACATGCTCACGACCTTGCCTACACACTCCACTTGTGTCACTTCCATGAGCGTGTCCACGCTGTTGCAGGGGCAGTGCGAGAGTCACAGGCTTCCTGTGCCTGGAGGAGCCACTTCTCAGGCAGTCATCTGGGCAGTTGTTGCATCGTCGTCCCGGCTCTTCTCCAGAACCGCTCCCCCATGACGCGCAGACTGCGCCGACCCCCCAGCTACCGACAAACCTCTTATCCGCTCCCTACCGGAGGGGGCGTGATTAGGGGACTCCTGCCAACCTTGCACTTCTTCTGGCGGGTACTTTCCCTTTCTTCTGTAATCAGACACACGTGTCGTGGTCCAGCAGCTTTCTCCCTCTCTCCTCATCTTACATAAGTAGCAATTGGAAACGCGGTTCAAAAAAATCCCACACCTAATTAATGATCCTCTGCAGAGGATTATTAGAGGGACGCTTCACAGCTGAACTGCCCAAGTGGTTTTATTTAAAAAAAAAAAAAAAGATGTGATGGGGCAGATCGCACATGAGGACTAGTCACTGAAATCGGATACTGGCGAGGCTCCTTTTTACTGCAGTCAGGTAGAACTCTCTATGGGGAGACTTTTTTTTTAAATCAAGAAAATCATGTTTCAGGAGGGCCCCTTCTGCAGACATGCCAGGCCTGCGTTTCAGCAGCATTTTCTGCCAGGCAAAGCAGCCAAACTGGCACAGGACAGCACGAAGATCCCAGATGTAATGGGACGGTCTCAAAGCTGCTGTGCTTCCTCATGGCACCCAGGGGTTGAGACTGTTCTGCTGGGGGGTTTCAGGCATTAAGGGACCTTCCATCCCAGCCTGCTTAAACCATGAGAGTAACACACAAGCATCGACTGCAAGGCTTCGTGGCACACGCCAGCACAGGCAGACTTACAGTTTGCCAGATGGAAGAGGTGCAGGCAAGGGTGTGGGCAGGAGAGAGGAAGCATCTAAGGTAGGCTGTAAAAAGGGGAATTACAGCACCCATTACAAGCAGCCGTGCCACACCACATTGTTCTCAGAGAGGGCACAGCAATGAAGGGAAATGGAGCCAGAAAGCGTCTTTAAAGGGAAGAACTGTGCACTGGACGGTGCTGGGAGAGGAAAATCTCATCAGTGCAAACTCACTCCTGGATTCAGCTGTACTCACATCGCAGCTGTGGGGCTGAAGAGACTCCATAAAGGCAAGACATCCCGCGCGCTTCGCCAACCCAATCGCCCAGGAGCATCCGCCCACAATGACCACACCGACAGGCTCTGCCATTCGCGGGGAAGGGTTCCATGCCGTTTATTTGGGAGGAGAGAGATGAAACACACTGGAGCAAGGAGAGTCTTCCACTGGGTGCCCCGCTCAGACCTCTGCACCCACAGTGCGGCAGAGGGGTTCAGCGAGCCCTTGCTCGGGTCATCTTGGAGCCTGTGCCCAGCACAAAGTGCAGAACTCCAGGCAGCGTGAATCCCCTGGCCAGTTACACCGAGGACAGACAAAGCATGTCCTGTCCCCTTGCCACTGCCAGCCACTACTGCCCCCTTACATGGTCCTGGGCAAGCACAGACACAGCAGGCTGTTGAGTGGCTTCTGGCAGCCAGAAGCCTCTTTGGGCACATGTTAAGCGGGCAAAGGAAGCAACAGCTGTAGTGGGCAGAGCTCCTAGGTTCCAGCTGTGAGTGCCACAGACTCAATGCCACCCTCTGAACGAGTCATCTCCCTGCGCTGCAAACCTTCCTTCTGTAAAATGGGGAAATAGTACCCCAGAACACAAGAACTAGGGGTCACCCAATGAAATTAATAGGTAGCAGGTTTAATATAAACCAAAGGAAGTATTTCTTTGCATAGCGCAGTCAATCTGTGGAACTCCTTGCCCCAGGATGCTGTGAAGGCCAAGACTAGAACAGGGTTCAAAGAAGAGCTAGATCAGTCCATGGAGGACAGGTCCATCAGTGGTTATTAGCCAGGATGGACAGGGAGGGTGTGTCTAGCCTCTGTTTGTCAGGGCTCGAAACAAGCGACAGGGGAGGAATCGTGTGACGATTCCCTGTTCTGTTCACCCCCTCTGGGGCACCTGGTATTGGCCACTGTGGGCAGACAGGACACTGGGCTGGATGGACCTTTGGTCTGGCCATTCTTATGTACCTCAGATGCATTGCAAGGGTCAGTACATGCAACTCAGCATTCTGGTTGAAAGGGTGCCCTCTCCAGTGCATGCAAAACCACTAACCCGCTAATACTTGAGGGCCTTTTTGGGAAGACGCATGAAGAGAAGAAGAACTCTG